GATAGATAGATAGATAGATAGATAGATAGATAGATAGATAGATAGATAGATAGATAGATAGATAGATAGATAGATAGATAGATAGATAGATAGATTGTCCCTATCCCAAATTGTCCCTGATGCATATATCTGCCAGTGATTGTGTGCATATGAATTTTTAAACGTATGCATACAATGTTCCTATGATGATACTATGAATATGTGTAAAAACAGAAACTCTAGATAGGCACTCACCTGCATGTAGGCATGATTGGTTGGATTTAAGTCTTCTCTCAGAGGACTAGGGCAGGAGCCTTCACAGCGGTAGGCATTGTATTTTTTAGGAAAGACAATCCAGGACCCCCAGCCAATCTGATTAAAGTCGACATGCAGGTCCACTTTGCGACAGAGCGATTTTTCACTCACTCTTTTGAACAGCTGTGGGGTTCTTGCTGTTTGCTCTCTCTGGCCCCGTTTGCTCCTTCGCCTCTTTTTGATTTCAGCAGGGGAGAAGAACTTGGATTGTTCAGCTGTATGGAGTAAGCTCGCTTTAGCCTTTGAGTTTTCATCAGACCCTGTGTGTGAGAAGACAACCAGCAAGGCCCGGTCACTCACATCCTGGTCTTTTGTCAAATTTGCTTCATAAACAGGCTCATCGGGAAGAGGCAGGCCTCGCTTTTTCTTTATCACTTTCCTTCTTCTTGACACTCGCTTGTGTCGAATTCTTGTTGTTGATTTCTCTTTAAGCCAGCTCAAGAGGGGATTCGTCATGTTGAATACTTTCCAGCTCTGCGATGATGTGACTAGTGACGATTCTGTGAGCAGTGCCAGCAGATGCTGATCCTGGTCATGGTGGTGATACACCTCCACGCTAATGTTGGAAACATTCATTGTCCAAGGTAGCTTGATTCTCAACTCTGCTGCCTGGATTTGTTTGTCAGCTCCCAGCGCATGGAGGTCAAATGTCGCCACCCAGGATCTATGTCTGTACGTCAAATCTGATATAGCAAAAATGGAAGAGTTAGCATAATTGAAGAGCACTTTGTATGACACAGATTATAATGACTGATTGTGTGTTACTGATGCATGTAAACCAACAAACAACCACCTGTGCGGGAAATTAACGCCCCCCCTCCAAAACATCACAATTATTATATTACCAAACATTAGATTGCTGTCTTTCCCTCCTCACCACACAGGTGGTAGATAGCTGCAACTTTGTGAGCCTGGTTTTGCTGGAAATCTATTCCTCTAAGCGTTTTTCCTTCCTTAAAATCTCCAAGTGCTTTTGAAAGGTGATCACCGGATTGTTGAAGGTTACTTTTCTGATAATGTAGGGTCTCGCCAAATTAAATAAACTTATGGAAGGTATAAGTGCAACATATATCTTAACTATGACATGACATTTTCAGTGTGCAGCCTGTAACAGCTTTATTAAAGAAGATGCAAATCAATAAGAAGGCCTACAGCTTCAACCTTATGTGTTTTGCTTGTTTAGTGGATTTAATCAGCCAACAGGAATTATTTTAACCTAAAATGTTTTTCAGTTCAATTGAAAATTTATTTACCTCCTAACAGAAGTCAGATAAAATCAAAAAATGAAACCTTTAATGAACATGCAGGCTCATCTGGTGAGAAAATGATGATATATGTCATCTAGAACTTCATGATTAGCGGATTTCAGTAATCAAAGCTGCTTATGCTTTTACCCAACATAACCCATTCATTATGCTACCCATGGACACCCTGCTCTGCGCCCACATCTGTAAAGAGACCCATTGTGATTCTAAACAGGTGTGGTTCCGATTAATCTAAGGGATGAACGGCTTTAAAACATTTAACTTTTGTATTGTCCGCTGCCTATTCAGTTCGACTCTTGATCAAAAGTGCAAACCACCCGCGCTATTAATCCACTCAAACCAAACACGTAGCCGAAACCAATCACTTAACACATCCCTGCTTCTCACGGCTTCTGCATATCCTTTGTCAAACAAACAGGTAGTAACTCTAACACTTTACGGAGATGTGAAATTAGATTCTGCAGCAGGGATTGCGGGGGGGGGGGGGGGGGGGGGGGGGTGTCCTGTGCTGGCTGCTTGTGCCACCGTTAAATCCAGCGCTCTAATTTAATCAAACCAAGTGCGAAAAAGAACTGAAGGAGGTTGTTGATTTGACTAAGCAAGAGATTTGTATAGGGGGATGTCTGGCGAGGTATCTAATCAACATCACCTATTTAGCGAAGAAGAGGTTTGCTTTGAGAATTAGAGAGAATACCGGCCTTTTCACACGCTGATCCCTGCATGGTTATTCACCCCCTAAGCGGAATGTGGATTGAAGACCTCTGAGGTCGTCTGGCACGCAGTGTTGACAGAAAAACTAAACCCCTTTAACATCTTAGATGATTTATTAATGGTAGAGAAGACATCTGACCCGAACCAAAGCTATAAAACACGAATGTCAAACGACTCCCTGCACGTTTCTGACAAACAAACCAAATACTTTTTATGAAGCAATGAGCCAGATCTTACTTTTAGCCATCATACTCTTCACGGTGTCCGCTTGTCTTGCGGCATCCTGCTCCATCGTATCCATAAGACCGGAAAAATTCGACTTGAAATTCCTGTAAAGTTGCATCATGTAGCTCGGCAGGTGATATCCAGTTCCTCGGTCCATCGCGGCAAAACGGTGCAGCGGCCTCATAAACACCCCATCGCTGGATTTATGAATCCCTTGAGCCAGCAGCGCCAGCAAAGATGCATGGAGCGCAACACCCAAAGCTCCCCATGAGCGCATGTTTTAGGTCGGTTAATGACAAATTCCTCCTCTGGAAGAGCAGGGGAGCCTTATATACTCTCACCCACCCCCTTTCACGTTTAACAAGTAGCTGAGAACATTAAAGGAAATTGACATGAGTCCTCAAGACTTGCTACCTGACAGCTCATCATCTATTCAATTGGTAATGAGGCGCCTGGGTTGGTGTTTGCAAGGAGCACAGGTTTTGTTTGCACCATGTTCTTTGGGCTTCTGCAGCCTGACTCCCCATTCTCAGACTAATTGTTTCATCTGTTTGGTTTGCACTAATTGTTAGGCTTTCCCATAGTCTAATTTAGTCTACTACGGGCCCCTTGAAATGCACATCAGGGACAATGAATGGGCTCTATTACCCATCAGGCATGTCTTCGTACAACAACAACAATGGCAACAGAACTATTAATGTTAAAACATCACTGCAACCAGTAATATAGGGAACGCACATGACATTTATACTACATTTATTATGCATTTGTTAATAATTTGGCCTAATTTAACTTCTAATTATACCTCAAATGGCCTTTTGTGACAAGAATATTACGATAAAAGATGGAGTCGGATAAAACAGGCCTACCATAAACTGAGATAAAGTCGCTGGAAACTTAATATAGACCTCTGGGACACTATCAAGCAGCACAGATAGAATGAAGCAGGAAACACGTCTTATCTCGCTCATATTTAACTTTAAGATGTTTACTTTTAAAGCTATACTATTATATAAAGCTTTACATCTTCTTTAAGGTCAGAAATCAATATTTATTGAACTCACTGGTGTTTTTCTGGTTAGAATTCCTTAAACAGCGTATTAATTTTATGTGTAATGTTTATATATAAGCTTTCATTTTATTAATAGTAGTTGTATACACCTATTATAAGAATGCTTAATTTCAAAGTGTCATAACAGCAATGAACCTTTTAAATCTTCGCAAAGCTTGCACGTCAAAAATCTTGGTTCCTGCAAAGAGCATCTGTGGATGGTTGTAGCTAACTGCGCATGCGCTATGCGTCTCCATTCACATAATGAAATCCTTTTCCTCGAGAATCTCCCGAGAAAGGATAAAAATTAATGGATATTTTTTTTTTATCCATCTGTATAGTTAAAAAGCGGTGCACTTTGTCGACAACGTCTACACCGGAATTACCGAGGTCCGAGGTCTGTTTTCCTAACTGGCCCGTCGCTTTTTCACCTACCGTGTGCTGAAATGGTGAGTAGCTTTAAAGTTTACGGGTCTTTTCTTGCACGAGTCATGGCAGCTAAAAAGAAAGTTGGCACTCGTGCCGTTTTTGGACCCCAGTATCCCTCTAGATTACAATCTTCAGCAAATATGGATTTTGGACTTTTGCTTGGACTAGACTTCCGCAGTGAAGGATATTTTCATGATGTGCTTGTGTGGCTGATGGGGCATACATGTGCTTGGCACCCCCACCCCCCATCTCTCCATGCCTGCACTGCTTTGTGCATTCAATCTGGTGTTTTGGGCGCTGACAGTGATAACTAATAATAATAATAATAAAAACAAGTTGTGCAAACCACGATAGGCAGTTGGGGCTCATTACTATGGCAATGCATAAATGGATAACCGTTAACTTATGTTTTTATTTGCTTATAAAAAACAAACATTTTCTAGGATGTCCTGATGTGTTACACTGCAACAATTGCACGCGCATGAAAATGACATTACAGTACATGCATGCAAATGATAAAAGGTTTGAGAAAAACAATGTGTTATGCTCTGCGTAATGCATTTGCATCACTTATGCAAAAACTGGATATGTACTAATAATAGGTGTTTTATATGTTAGCGCTCATAAGACAGGAAAATGAACCAAAACAAATACTTCTACATACAAATACCACTAACAGAAACATAATCTAAAACCGCGTCATGTATTTACATGTGCATTTATAGCATATACAGTATATAATAGGCAAATAGTGACGTCATGCTGCATCTGCGTAAGATTTTACTAGGCCTGATATAAAGTCTAAACGCACAAAGCACATGATGTTCTTTGATTTATTCAGTTTTGTGTCAAGGTCTTTGTTTACTTTGGTCCTTCCAGCTGGTTAGCCTTCCAGGCTCTTCGGTTTATATCGCTTTACCTCATGTCATGGGGGGTGGGGTTGGGCGGTGGGAGTGGCGGTGGGGGTGCACTGAAACTGCCTCTGATTGACCCGATCAAACCACGAGTATCAGTTAATCAAGAGTGATAGAACGAAACTCCTGGATGATTGAGCAGCCAAATACTAAATGGTGAGCCTTTTACTCTCCGTTTATCTTGATAAGAGGGCTGGATGAGAAACTTAACTCCTACGTGTAATTTTAAAAGTTGTTTGTTTGGACATGCCCCACGAAAAGCCCCCCACTTTGTTTCCAAAATGATTTATAGTAGATCTGTTCATAGGGATTGAGAAATGTAAAACAGGTGTTCAGTTAGGTTCAAGTTTCCTTAAGTCCCAGCGCTGCTTGTTGAAATTGATTTGGATGCATATTCGCAATCATTTATAAGAGTATTGTGCCAAGTCAAGGTCAACTGAGTCAATACTGAGAGGGACCAAATTCGGGATGGGGTGTTGCGGGTCCCAACTCTCTTTTCTTTATTTTCTGAAGTTGGGCAATAAAATAGCTGTGACTGTTCACCTTCCCCATGTTCATAATGAAACTATAAATAACAGCTGACTGCAATAAAACTGCTAGGACTTAATCAAACACTTATAATCTACCATATGCATGTTTAGCTATACAGCCCATTACTATCTACATAAATTAAAAATGCAGTGCAGGTGAAATGAGTCATAATATGCTTTTATGTGGAAAAGAATGTACACTTTTTTCAGTTCTAAGGTCTTAGTGATCTGAACTGAAAAAAGTGTACTTTTCAGTGAGGACATAATTAAACATGATCTGGTCCTTGCTAAGTCTTCAAATTAGGTAAATGCATGCTCATATGAACAATAAAAAATTATGTATTACACTGTGTCAAACTAAGCCAAAATGCAGAAGCAGTGTGTGGAAAACTAAGCACACCCCATGATTCTGTGGGTTATAGAGATCCACCTTTAGCTGCAATAACTTGAAGTAATTGTTTTCTGTTTCCATTTATCAGTCTCTTACAATTTTGGCACACTTTAAAATGTTGAATTAGTTTATTGATGTTTGCAAGCATCCGATCTCAAGGTCCAGCATGTCAGTTGGATTAAGCTTTGGACTGGGCCATTGCACCTTGATTCTCCCTAAGCCATGCTGCCATTGTCTTTTGGAGAAAGGAGGCTTTCTCTGGACAATCCATTCAGTCTTTTTCTAATCATACTGTCATAAACTTTAACATTTAACATACTAACTGAGCCCTCCAGAGTCTGAGATGTAGCTCTTGGGTTATTTTGTGATTTCTCTGAGCATTCCAGGGTCTGACCTTGGGGTAAAATTGTTGCAATGACCACTCCTGGGATAATTGGCACACCAGCTTGTTTTCTACATTTTCATAATCTTTATAAATTACATAACCCTCCTTCCTCTTTTGTATTGTGTTAACAAACAGCTGAACACCAGCAGACTGCCAAAAGTGCTTTTAGAGAGAAGGTTGCTAATTATCACTTAATTTTTTATTACAAGCACTTGGCTGATGATTTGGCTGCTCCTAATCATCTTAATTCCATTGGAAGCAGTAAGGCTGTACTGCTTCCAATGTCTTGTTGTTCCTTTAATTGTATTTACATAATTTTAAGACCCATTAAGAAACATTTGAAAATGTTTTTGATCTTCTTACATTCTAAGAAAAATTTGATGTAAAATAATTTTGATAATATCAAAAATATTTGGAGGCATGCCTTCCAGTAAATATAATTTTGGTCATATCCAAAGTTACTCAGAGGACATTTGATGTAAATTAATTAATTTCCCAGTTGGGCACTGTTTTCTGATTGTGATTAAATAGTTGTCTAAATGAAAAGAAGTGTTTTGGAAATTAGATAATTATCTAAATGCAGTTGTTAATTCTTACCACAAGGTGTCATATTTGATCAATGGACTCAAGAGAATATTGCACTGTAAGTCCACCCAGAACATGCCCCCGTGTATTTGTAATTAGTTATCATTTCATCTTCCCAAGAGCTTTGAGCTGCTGAGGTATTTTTAACTTGACAGTGATTGATTAGGGAAACATTTTGATTTGGGAACAGTGTCCCTGTGCTGTGAGAAAGATGAAAAGACTATCTGAAAGCATTAATAATGTATTTCATTTCTAATGTTTTTGGAAGCTTAGAACTTGTCTCAGGCGAAATACTTCCCCCTTCCTTACAATTGCTCTTACAAGGCTCTTAGCAAACTGGCTTTCTGGAGATAAGACAGACACCAGGCCTGAGAAAAGATTTGAACAAGAGAGGTGATAAAAGCCGTACAGTCCTTTTCCAATGGGGACATTAAGCAGAGAGAATATTTTTTCAGTCTGCCATTAAATATCCTCTTATTCTAAATTATGCTTTTTTTCTGATTTAAAAAAAAAAGGAAGGTGCATGAGCCTGTGCCTAGGTGGGTCACTCATTAGCTTTATGACAGTTTATTACAAAATCTCCCCCCCGGAAAACAAACGAATATTTGTTACTTCTCACTTCCTGGGTGGATTCATTCATGTTTTGAGGTTTGCGGGCCATGGGAGGGTTTGGTTTCACATTCACGGTGTTGCAAGAACGTCAGAATCTTTGGCCTGCGCGGCTGCAGGAAGGAAGGAACAGGTGTGGCAGCAGTAGATTTTACATCCATATCTCGAAAAAACCACTTACCACTTTTGCAAATCAGCTTGATGTGGACATTATCTTGTGACAGATTTGTGATCGCACATACTTTTGTAAGAAAATATTCTCACATGCAGTTCACTCAGACGATAAGCCCGATGTTGTTGGCCGTTTTGTTTAATAATTTGGAGTCCTAACTGTAAATGTGCTTACCCGAACGGGTAAGTTTGGCAGAATTTCGATACAGGTA